GTTTTCTACTTGAGCCCTTGGTGTCAGCTCCTCATTTTTTCCCCTCCCTCCTCGCTCCCCCCTTCTCCTGAACTCTTGATAATTTATAAATTATTATTTTATCATATCTTACACCATCTGGCGTCTCCCTCACCTACTTCTCAGCTGTCCGTCCCCCAGGGAGGAGGCCATATGTAGACCTTGTCATCTGTTTCCCCTTTCTCCCTCACCTTCCCTCCACCCTCCTGATATCACCACTCTCTCCACTGGTCCTGGGGGGGGTTCATCTGTCCTGGGTTCACTGTATTTCCAGTTCCTATCTGTGCCAGTGTACATCCTCCGGTCTAGCTGATATGTAAGGTAGAATTGGGATCAGGATAGTGGTGGGAGGAAGCATTTAAGAACTAGAGGGAAACTGTATATTTCATCATTGCTACACTGCACTCTGACTGGCTTGTCTCCTCCCTGCAGGCCTTCTGCAAGGGGATGTCCAATTACATCAGATGGGCTCTGCACTCCCCCTCATTCACAATGCTATGATTTTTTTTTTTTTTGTCTTTGATGCCAGATACCTGATCCCTTCGATGCCTTGTCATCTCATAGGCTGGTGTGCTTCTTCCGTGTGGGCTTTGTTGTTTCTCAGTTAGATGGCCCCTTGTTTATCTTCCAGCCTATGGGACCCCAGATTCTATATATTTTGACAGCTGGGCACCATCAACTTTCTTCACCGCATTTGCCTATGCACCTGATTTGTCTTCAGTGTCCGTGTCCAGGTAGGCTGTGGCTGCCTGATTGTCATCAAGCCTTTAAGACCCCAGACGCTATATCATTTGATAGCCTGCTACCATCAGCTTTCTTCACCACTTTTGCTTAAATCTTTACCAGTGTGGATAGCTTCATCTTTCTTCCAAAGAATGGCTAGAAATACATTTGCTGAATGAAGAAACAGACTCAGAGTTGAAGAATCTTTCCCGAAGACACTGAGTTAGTTTAAATCCAAACCCATTAAGATTTAACCCAGTCTGCTTAAACTTAAAATAAGTTACCATTTCAATGGGCTAGAATATGTGGACATGTTTAGTGTTTGACCATTTTCCTTTAGAATGGGGTGTCGGAGGCTTGTCTGACTGACCTCTGCCTCAAGGCAGTAAGGAGTTGGAGTCCCCTTCTCCCTAGTGCAGCCGGAGGTCCTCAGATATGCATATTGCTTCTACCCTGTTTTCACAACCACTTTTTGCCAACATTCCATTCCCTATAAAAACAGCATTTTAGCAGATAATTCTGTAAGAGAAGTGTAGACCACCAAATTTGAATGCATTTGTGAGATTATCTTCAAATAGAAGTTATTCACAGAGACAGGATGCTATTTGAGCTGTTCTCCTTCTAATGCTAGTTCCTTGCTGTCTCCCCAGTGATCTGGAAGGATTTGTAGGGATTCAGGCAATGTTTTAATAAAATTTGTGCTTTTAGAGTTTGAGGGTGGAAAGTAGCCCTGTCTGGGCTACATTATGAACGCTGGGAAAGATGATGTGTAGATTATAAAGTGAAATAGAAGCTGTTGCCCCTTGGCTGCCCGGAGTGTAATTTAAATAAACGAACCTTACAAATGCAACTTTCCTCTTTTGTGAATCATGAATAATTTGGCAGCATATCCCCAGATCTGAGCAGCAGTTTCTGCTTTGCACCAGTTGTAATGAAACAATTGTCCTGAGCAGTCAGATTGGAATTCATAAGATTGGGTTTATGCTAATGAACATCAGTAATGAACATTTGGATAATGTAAAATGATACTTATTGTGGCTTCAGAGCATGATAAAGGCATTTCCTTCGATTCTTATGAAATAATACCTTTTGTTCAGGACACCCTCAAATGAGTGTCAGGTGGGATTCCACATGCCACTGCATCTATGGTGAACATTGTGAAAGTTTTGCACTCACAAGTTATATTTATACAACTAATTTCAACCTGTGCTCCATGTTTTATAAAAAGCACTGTTCTCATCATGATCTGTGATTTTCAATCATTTTCCCTTGTATTTCTTTTTTTTTTTTTAAATCATTTTATTTGGGGCTCATACAACTCATCACATTCCATAGTCAAGTACATTTGTACATTTGTTGCCATCATCATTCTCAAAACATATGCTTTCTGTTTGAGCCCTTGGTATCAGTTCCTTATTTTTCCCTTCCATGCCCGCTCCCCCCTCCCTCATTAACCCTTGATAATTTATAAATTATTATTTTGTCATATCTACACTATCTGACATCTCCCTTCACCCACTTTTCTGTTGTTCATCCCCCAGGGAGGAGGCTATATGTAGATCCTTGTCATTGGTTTCCCCTTTCCACCCCACCCTCTCTCCACCCTCCCAATATCGCTGCTTTCAGCACTGGTCCCGAAGGGATCATCTGTCCTGGATTCCCTGTGATTCCCCGTCTGTACCGGTGTACATTCTCTGGTCTAGCCAGATTTGTAAGGTGGAATTGGGATCATGATGGTTGGGGTGGTGGTGGTGGAAGTGGTTAGGAATTAGAGGAAAGTTGTATGTTTAATCATTGCTACACTGCACCCTGACTGGCTCATCTCCTCCCCACAACCTTTCTGTAAGGGGATGTCCAGTTGCCTACAGATGGGTTTTGGGTCCCCAATCT